GCACAGATCTCTGCTCACATGGACAGCAAGTCATTGTTAGATCTGTTTCAGTCTCCTTTCATGCCACGCATAGCACAGAGTCTGCCCTGATCAGGGTGCTAAATGACATTCTGGTGGCATCTGACTCTGGGTCCAGGGTATTGCTGCTCTTGCTGGACCTTTCAGTGGCTTTTGATACCATCGACCACCATATTCTATTGGGCCAGTCTGGGTCTTGGGTTAGGGTGATGGGAGTTGCTTATCCAACCAATCCATTACTGTCCAGATCAGTGATTGTACCTCCTCTTGTCTCCCGTTGCCTAGGGGGGTGCCACAGGGCTCCATTCTTGGGTCACTCCTTAGTCCAATATACCTCCTGCCACTGGGCAGAATCCTGAGTCAGTATGGTCTGGACCATCTGGACTATCCAAGCCCCCACAATGCGGCTCAAAAATTGGTCCCAACCCGAAAGTACCAAAAATTGCAGTTCCACTCTCATCCTCTGAGGGCTGGTGTCAGAAGCGAGCAAATCCTCATTGACTCCCATGTTAAAAATACCAATTTCACAGCAGAAATAAACATGTTTACAGCCTGATACCAAAACATGTTTTTTGTTTAAATTATCTAGTTTACACTCATGACAACTCTGAGGGGGGTGAATTTTTTCTCTCACTCGTCTGTTTAAGTGTATTAAAAGCCTAAAATTCTGTATAAATAATGAGCATCAGACCCACGTGACCGCCGCCTCAGACCCACGAGACCACAAAGCTAGCTCAGTGGAAAGGCCTCAGTAGAGCCTCGGTCTGGCTTGGAAACTGCTCCGGGATTTTGAGTCTCTGTGTTTGTGTATTCTTTTTTGGATATTTTTGTGCAATTGTTGGACAAAATGACTTGCTGTGGCATTAATTGCACTAATAGAGCGTCCAAGGAGTCTCCACTTCATTTTTTTCGGTAAATAAAATTATATTTATGTATTTTAGGTCACTGGCGAGCTGAGCTTAGATTTTAACATGTACTGTTTAACCATGAAATTTAAATGTAATAGGGTAAAACCCAGTGCATTTAACATAATGCTGCACTTTAGAAAATGGGTTGAAATATAACATGTTGGTGGAGCTGGGTTCTGACTATCGGCTTGTGGAGCTCTCGGGAGACCGATGTTTTCCACCCGTTTCTCCCCTCCCCGCAACTTGGCGCATCTCTGTCTGATCACGGCTTCTGTGTGCTGCGCGGCCTGACGGCTGGTTCTCCCCGCAGCTCGGCGCATCTCTGTCTGATCGTGGCTCCTGTCTGCTGCGCGGGCTGCTGGCTTGTGGAGCTCTGGGATGAAAACCTTTCCACCCGGTTCTCCCCAGCGGCAGCTCTGCGCATCTCAGATCGCAGCGGCGCTTGTCTGCTGTGTGGCTGCCGGCTTGTGGAGGTCTCGGAGACCTCTGTGTTCCACCCGGTTTTACCCAGTGGCCAGCCCGGCATATCTCTGACTCAGAAGCTCTGGTGTGCACAGTTAACTCCGGTTGTAGCTAGGTTGCTACCTCCATTAGCTTAGCTCCCACCTCCGCATTAGCTTTGGGTTAGCTTCAGGTTAGCTTGTAGCTAGTTCGACCGGGTGTTGTCAGTTTATCACAGACTTACAGCCCCACCCTCAGCTCCTCCTCTCTTCCCTTTTATGGAATTGTCTGGGCTTGACGGAACCTGTGACACGGTCAAAATGGCGGTGGTGGCCACCTCCCATTTTAGCTCAAAAACGTGTTATTGGAGTCTATGAAAACCCATTATCCATATATGTATATCGATGGGACTATCACATTTACAATGACGGTTGCCAAATATATGTGGCGCCGAATGAGAAAAATGTGGGCTCACAATTTTGCACATGTTTGGCTGATGTGAAGGGCTGGCTGGCATGCGATTTCCTAAAATAAATTAGTTAAAGACTGAGTCTATTGTTTTTGACACCTGAAATCACCCAGGCTCTCACTCTGCTTGTAATTTTTTTTTTTAAACTCGGAACCCTAAACAGTACGTAACTAGTCTCAGGGTAAAGCTGGATGCTGACCTCTCAATGGCCTCACAGATAAACTCAGTTCAGTTCAGTTCAGTTCACTTTCTTTCAAACATATACATTCACCAACATTTCATAAAATCATTCCACGCAATTGTTTGAAAAGGAGTAGGGAGAAGTGTATACTTATTTAGCCCTACCCCCTCAGGTTTACATCCTCATCATCAAAATTTAAACAACAAAACAGTTACAATGCCTTAAAAAAAAATAACCCACAAAAAAAATAACAATAATAATAAATAAATTAAATTCTCATGTTCAACTAGAACTATATTTAGATTTTCTAATTTGTAGAACAGATTAAACATCAGTTTGCATGCCGTCCTGGGTTAATTGCATTTTCTTCAGTCTTATACTTATTTAACATTTCTTTTTTTAGTTTTATTTTAAACTGGTTTATATCACTACTGACCTTTATTTCTTCTGTTAACTCATTCCAGAATTTAACGCCCGCTATTGAAATAGACATCCTTTTCAATGTTGTTCTTACTCTTTGTACTTTTAAATTCCACTTCCCTTATACCTCCCTTCTCTGTCTAAGAACCATTTCCTTATTTCAATTGGGAGCATCCCTTTCCTTGCCTTATATATTATTTGCAGTTTTAAACTTGACCAGGTCCTGGAATTTTAAAGCTTGCGTCTTAATAAAGAGTGCGTTTGTGTGAGCCCTATACCCCTCCTGATTTATTAGTCTAATAGCCCTTTTCTGCATTATGATTATAGTCTGAATATTACTTTTATATGTGTTTCCCCAAACTTCTACACAATAACTCATGTATGGTAATAGTAAAGCACAATATAACATATATAATGTTTTCCTATCCAGAAAATGTTTTACTTTCCCCAAGACAGCAATGCCCCATGCTAACTTTCCCCTCACATGAGTGATGTGTGATTTCCAACAGGCCTTATGATCAATGATCACACCAAGAAATTTTATGGTATTAACCCTTTCTAGATATACATTATCAACACAAATTTCAATGTTAATATCTTTCTTATGGTTTCCGAATAACATAAATTTTATTTTATTTAAATTTAAGGACTATTTGTTTCTATCAAACCATGTCTTCAATATCTTTAACTCCTGTGTGATCACCTCCACAACCTGTTGAAATTCCCCACTTGAACAAAGTATATTGGTATCATCTGCAAAAATTACAAACTTTAGGATCTTCGACACTTTAGAAATATCATTTATACTCTGTGGTGAGATCTTGTTTTTATCAGTTATGCTGCGACCAGTCCTGAAGCGGAGGCTCCTGAAATCAGTCATCCATATTTTTAATACCTCTCGCCTGGACTTTGCAAAAGCACTCCTTGTAGGTAGTCCTGCTTCTGCCCTGAATCAGCAGCAGGTCGTCCAGAATGCTGCTGTTAGGTTCCTGATTAACACGAACTGAGGTAGCCACATCACCCCTGTCCTGGAACTTCTCCATTGGCACCATGTCCCTTCCGTGTATAGTTGAAGTTATTGACTTTTGTTTTTACAGCTCTTCATGACCTGGCACCTCCTTATCTGTCCGACATGCTCATCCCTTATGTGCCTACGTGCACATTGAGGTCAGTTGATCTCAATGCACTCCTCAGATGTGCTACAAATCTAGGGGTGAATGAGCATTTGTCAACGCTGCCCCCAACCTGTGGAACTCACCTCCCATTACAGTTCGTCAGGCTCCCTCTTTGGCATTTTTTAAATCTCGTTGAAAGACCCACTTTTACAACTTGGCTATTGGGCAGCGACTCATTTTATTGTTTTAATGTGTTTCCTATTGTTCTTATTGGTTTTGTCTGTTATAACTGTTCAGTATTTTTTATATCCTCATTGTTTTTGCCTTTATTCTGTTTTAATTGATCCTGCCTCTGCAGCACTTTGGGCAGCTCCCATGCTGTAGTTTAAATGTGCTGTAGAAATTAACAGGTACGGTATGGTAACCACCAATGTGTATTTTAGCTAAGATTGCACACATTTTATCCATACAATTATAATATTGCATATTGCAGCGTGTAATATTCCGTTATCACACTTTGGCTGTCACATAAATAGTGAACAGGTCAAACAACCAGCTCCAAACACATGACTGTCGTTGACCTCTGCCTAATGGAAGGCCCTGGCTGCCTGCCACCATGCTGGACTTATTGGCTATAAAACTCCAGGTCAATCAGGAGTTGATGGCAGCTCACTCAGTCATCCGTGCTGACCACATCATGCAGCCAATCGGGACCTAGTGTGGGACTGACTAAATGCTTGCGTGCAAGGGTAATTACATCTCAGCCCCAAACCAGGTTTCTCCATAATGAATAATCAGCTGTTTGCTGAGACTTGAAGGTTCACTTTGGAAGCCTTGACAACAACATTCACACTGTGTTTTAGGTGGGCAGCCTATTTATCTTGTGAAGGACAGATGATTTTTCCTTTCTCCACCCTGTGGTTTTATGTCTGAGATGGTAGGTTAGTTTAGTTTCTGTTCAGGCATGATTCATGTAAATCACTGCTCCCCTGTGGAGCCAGGTATCTACTCCCACAGCAGCTCAGAGTGTTGGATGGAAGCCTCCACGAGACAGATAAACCAGGATTTGGTGGATCTCTGGCGCCCCCTGGAGACATACTCATGATTATTTTTCACATGGGATGATTTGTGGACCAAAAGTTAGACTTTACTCTTTGTTGTTAAAACTGATTTATAAAGTATATGCTTGTGATGTGATTCACAAAGAAAACAAAAAAGAATGATATGGATTTCTTAATATTATTAGTGGTAGATTATGCGTTTTTCTCCGTCGTCTCCGCCCACGTCCGGCTACTTGAATGATATCAAAACAAACGTACCCAGAAGAGCAGCAGAGTCATGTGGACGGTCATGAGGCTTCTCTCATGAGGAAGTAAGTAAACAGGAAAAGAGGAGGAGCTCTAAAGAGGTAAAGAGGTAAGAGTTATTTAAAACATTCTTAAAATCGAAGTTATTACTATAATTCAGACATCTAAATGAAAATAAAGCTAGTAAGCCATCACGTTTGCGCACGCTACTTGCGTGTCGTGTGCAGCATCACTGTTCATGCAGAAAGCTTGTAGGCTAGTTGCTAACATTAGCTTGTGGGTTTATAGTAGCACATATAAATCATAACGACACAACCATATTGGAATCTAAACACATGTTTTATTATACTAACAGCGCATTTAGTTGTTTCTTATGTTTAATAACTAAAATGTGTGTGATTTGGGAAAGTGCTGATGCTAGAAGCAGGTTTATTAACATCATGTGTGAGAATTACAGCTGGTCAATCACAGCAAACGACACATTAAAGAACCATGTGTCTTGTTTTACGACTCATTTGTAAACCTTTAGAAAATGTTTACCTGGTTTGATGTTAGAAAAACTTGTTACACTATAAACAACAAAGACAACACCTCCACAAAGTTGAAACTGGATTTTATTAATTTGTTAGGTTGTAGAAAGAAAAAAGAATTTTGAAATGGCCAAAAATTATTATCCATGCTGATATTTAATGCTGCTCATAAGTGTGGCCTTTCTGTCTTACACGCTGCTTTTAATCTACACAGTTTATTCTTTAATGAATACAGATTAACACATATATCAGTTTTTATTGCATTCACTTCTCCAAGTATTGATTAAAAAATCAGAAATACAATTGAGCGTTTTTTTCTCAGAAAAAGACACATTTATTTAATTTTTAGACATGTCTTGAACAGAACAAAGTAATACATAAAAAAATGTTGGAGTTGTTTTTTTACCCTTGATGTCGGCTCTTCACATCATTGTGGAGCAGAGTTCACCAAGCATTCAATTTTTCACCCGCTATAGGGAAGGAGAGTTGGGTTTAGACCGTGGTGAGACAGTAGCCCTACTGATGATGTGTTGTTGCAGCAGGTGAGAGGCATCATGTGGGACTATTGGGTGGTTGAGGTGTGTGTCACGTGAACCTCAGAAACAGGCTTGGAAAGCAAAGGTGGAGGTAGAAACCAGTCATGGTGAAGTATTCATGACCCTGTAGCAGAGTAAGGAGGAACAGAGGCCTGGTTCAGGAACAGGCGATCTCTGATGACCCTCTGAAAGAGGCTGAAGGGTGCCTGTGGGCCCCCCTATGCACTTGGGCGATGGTTGAGGAACATCTAGTAGAACCCAAAAGATTCTGGTGGTTGAGGAGTTTCTCTTGGGACCCTCAAGAACTATTTCAGTACTGTTGGTGTTCTCTAACTGTCTTGCTGCATCAACCAGTTGTTGTCTGATCATCTGAGCGTGAAAAGTAAAAGTAAAGTCAGTTTGGGGAAGCCTGGGCGATGGTGAGATCATCCACTCTTACCTTGGCTTGAGCTTCCCTAAAGAGGTCCACTGGCCCCTCCAGCACTAGCATGAAATCAGAATTCATCAGTAATCTAGAAAGATTTCAGTTAGATTAAAACGGTGCATACTTGTTCTGTAGCATCTGAAAAGCTGAAAGTCAGAAATGGAGAGGTGCAAATTCTTATTTATTCTGTTTTAATTCCATAAACAACAGCCTTGCTCTAATGGGAACCCAACCCCATGAACAAGGGGTTTATTAGAAGTCAAATGTCATGCTGCTGTTGGCTCCAAGTTAAACCTTTTCTTCTGTCTCTAGGAATATCTTGAATTTCAGGGTATCTTTATATCCCGCTCTTCCCTCTCTGGCCACCATGGTGGACTTCCTGGCAGACAATAACCTGTGTGGCCAGGCCATCCTCAGGATAGTTTCCAGAGGGAATGCCATCATAGCAGAGCTTCTGCGTCTCTCTGACTTCATCCCTCCAGTTTTTAGGCTGAAGGACAAAAATGACCAGCAGAAATATGGAGACATCATCTGTGACTTCAGCTACTTTAAGGTTTAAACATGTGGACGGCCTGAACTGTGTCATTTAGCCTCAGACTAATGTCAACTTTCTGTGATGGTAAATTAAGTTGCTTCTTCTTCAGGGTGCGGAGTATTACGAGGGGAAGCTGGAAGCCAAAGCAGAGCTTCAGGACCTGGATGAAGAGTTCAGAGAAAACAACACTGAGATTCTGTCTCGGTTCTATCTGGCCTTTGAGAGCGTTCACAAGTACATAGTTGATCTGAACAGGTGAGATAACGGGCTCTGCCTCCTTTCAGCTTGAGCCCGCTCCCCTCATCTTTCACACGAGTCTCTGGTTTCTGCTGCACTTGTGTGAGACCAGCTAAACAGGCTTGATTCAGTTTAGTGTGGAGAATGACTGCAGATGAGTTAAGGAGCATAATCATCCAAACATTTAGGAAAGAGAAGGTAAATTATAACAATCTGGGCAAATTCATATCCCATAAGTGAGCTTAAAACTTTTTTGGTGCCCACCAGAACTTCTTTTTCCTTTGCACCACCAAACACAGCCACACTAACACGTGTGGTTATGTTATTTTGTCTCCAGATATTTAGATGACCTAAATGATGGAGTTTATATTCAACAGACCTTAGAAACTGTTCTTCTGAATGAAGATGGGAAACAGCTACTAGTAAGTACCTGAACCGTGGCTTTATTGAATTATTTATGAAATGTAACTTCAGCTGTCCTCCATATCTCTCTGATGATTTGATGTAAAGACTTCAGCCCTGATTTTCCAGTTAATAATGTGATTTGTATTCTTAAATGTCAAAACTAAGTTGGCTAAAGTTTTTCTTCCACCCAGTGTGAGGCTCTCTATCTGTATGGAGTCATGTTGTTGGTCATTGACCAGAAGATCGAAGGAGAGGTCAGAGAGCGGATGCTTGTTTCCTATTACAGATACAGGTGAGAGCATGACTCACTCGCCCCGTCTCAAAGCTCTCTGAGTGATTTGCACTCTCTCAGTCGACTGTGAGAGTGGGATTTTGCTTTTAGCAGAGGCTCAGTTACTCACCTGACTCACGTCTGGGTTTAGGTTTACACCAGGTGCACAAGCAAACACACAATCACAGCACTGAAGCAGAAAACATGCAGAAATACAGTTATTTAAGGGGCCACGTTCAAGAACAGGAGGCGTTGTTTTGGGCATATATATTTATATAAACACTAGATGCCTTGTCCCCGCTGTTCGCCAATGGGATGCGACGTAGGAACGTGGCGGCCTATTATTATATTATATAGACCCCCCCCCCCCCCCCCCCCCCTCTCTCTCTCTCTCTCTCTCTCTCTCTCTCTCTCTCTCTCTCTCTCTCTCTCTCTCTCTCTCTGGTTTGTGAAATAAGATTTGTGTAGTGTTGAGATTTCAAGGTTCTATTGAGGTAAAGCCCACATTAACAGAACACAGATACAAAATGTGCTCCCCAACAAATAAGACAACCGACACCCAAATCACATCTGTCAGCCAGAACCGGCCCGCCAGCAATAAAATTTAACCCAGCAAATTATTTTGTATTTTCACTATTTCTTAACTTTTGTTATTTATTGACTTTCATTTATTAATTATAAACTCTTTGGAAATGCTTTCTGAAAAAGTTAGGAAATAACCAAAAGATAGATTAGGTTAGTATGATAGATGGATAATGGATTGATCTTGTGAAGGAGATTTTCAACATTCATAATACCAGATAACAGTGTGTAGAAGGTAGCAGCAACAGCAATGGAACAGCGGTTTCTAATTATTTTATTGACATAAAAACAATTAACAGACAGAATAATATACAAGTATGGGTTTTCTTTGCAACAGTTACAAATGAAAGGTGATCCCATGTTGTCTCGATTTGTCACAGCGGCGATTCGAGCATCCTTAGGCTGCACGAAAGTCAGGCATGTTGACCCTCGAGCTTCACAATTAATAAAGGTGTATTTCTGCAAACATAAATCCAGAAATGTCCTGTTTTAGTATATCCCAGTATAAGTTTTGTGTACTAAACCAAGGAGCTTAAAAATCACGGGCAATTTAGCATTAATAAATTTAAAATTAAACGAGCGACTCCCACTGAGGTAAACGGTCTACTTTGTTTTGCTAAGCAGTGCACCCACCGTAGCCTCATCATCTCTAAGCCAAGTTATACAGCTAATAAATACATAAACATCCACAAACACAGCCATTTACACAACAGTTGGGCTGTCGTAAAGTCGTTATTGGTTTTGTAGAACCACATAAAATATAGATTGTGGTCTCAACCTGAATAACATGCAGATAGCCTAGGCGGGGCTCATGGTTCACAATTAAGTCACTTTCAAACACAAAAGCGTTAATTTCAACATGAGCAAGTATGTCGTCTCAAGCCTATGTGTTCTAAGGTTTGTAACAAGGTAAACCGCTTATAAATCTATTAATATTTCATTGAGTTAAGAGTGTTTTGGTTGAAGCTGATCACTCACCTTCCAGCTGCTACCACTGAGAGCGGAGGGGTCTTCTGTCTGAGGTAAGATGGCCGCCTTTTAGCTACACCCTCGACTCCCGCTTTCGCCATTTAGTGTTTATATACATATCTATGGTTTTTGGCACGAAAATGGAGAAATGGGCTTTAGGTGCAATACACTTAGCCACCTATAGGGGGTGCCCTCTGACCCAAAGCTCTGCTGCTGCAGAATCATAAAACAATTATTTATTATTGTTGTTTACTAAACCAGTTTCACTGTCTGGTTCTTGTGTCATTTGGTGTTTGATTATTTTCAGTGCTGCCCGCTCATCAGTTGACTCCAACCTGGATGACATTTGTAAACTCCTGCGCAGCACCGGTTTCTCCAGCCAGCCTGGAGCCAAACGACCAGCCAGCTACCCAGACAGCTACTTCCAGAGGGTTCCCATAAGCGCCACTTTCATCAGCATGGTCATCGGGAGGCTGCGCTCCGACGACATCTACAACCAGGTGAGATGCACTGTCAAGCAAACCTTTGTCCTAAGCTTGTAGTTCATTATAATGACTTTGCTGCAGATTACGTCAAGCGTCCACTTGTTCCTCAGGTGTCTGCCTACCCTCTACCTGAGCATCGAAGCACGGCGCTAGCTAACCAGGCAGCAATGCTCTATGTGTGTCTGTTCTTCAGCCCCTCCATCCTGCATACCCAACAGGCCAAGATGAGGGAGATCGTAGACAAGTACTTCCCTGATAACTGGGTAATGGTGTATATTCTCTTTTAAAACACTAGAGGATATTAAGTCTCAGTGTGGTGGAAGAAGTTTCTGTGTTGTCTGCCTTCAGGTTATCAGTATCTACATGGGCATCACTGTCAACTTGGTGGAGGCCTGGGAGCCATACAAAGCCGCTAAAACAGCTCTTAACTATACCCTGGACTCTGCTAATATAAAAGAGCAGGTATGAAAAAAGTTTTAGTTTCAATGTCCCCGAGTCCTCTGTGTGTGTGTTGATGCTAAGGTGTAGCAAGGCTAATGTGTGCAGAGACAATCTGTTAGTTGGGACGGTACCAAATGTAAAATTAAGGCTGTAAATCTTTAGAAGGTCTGTTTTAAACTTGATCAGCTCATTATCCAAGTGTTGGAGATGTATGAGTGGAAGAATTGATGGTGGCGGCGGGAAGCTGCCGAGTGCCAGAGACAAGAAACCAGCTGACCTGTAGCCATTGGCAGTTTTCACCACCGCTGGGAATGAAGTCATGAATAATTTTTAGTCATGCAGGGTTTTCACCAGCATTCCTGTGTGCAGGCCACTCGCTACGCTGCCAGTTTGGAGAGCCAGAGGTCTCAGGTGCAGCAGCGGCTGAAGGAAGGTTTCCTCAGGGAGGAGATCATCCTGGACCACATTCCCAAACTACTCAACTGTCTCAGGGACTGCAACGTGGCCATCCGCTGGCTGATGCTGCACTCTGCAGAGTCAGGTATGAGCATTTAAAAAGGGCTCGTGTTTCGGGGTGTCTTCTGAATATGTGGAAACCAAAAGGCTGTAAGAAATAGTTCATATGCTCTTGCTTGTCTCATCTTTTAGCCTACGACTTAAACAACAAGCGCCTGCGTCAGGTCAGGGATCAAGTGCTCAGCGACTCCAAGTACAAACCAAAGATCCTGTTCCAGCTGCTGCTGGACACAGCTCAGTTTGAGTTCATGCTCAAAGAGGTGAGATCCTTCCTGTAAATCGGGGAAAAATAAGAAGAGAATGCAGAAAAATGTATTCTTTCGTCATTTCCGAAGTGATTCGTCAGACTTTATTCCTTGTTAGATGTATCTGTTGCTCATTAGCCCACAGTGAGATAGCATCTGGGTCGTCAGTTTATCATAAGGAGATGGCACAAAATCTTCTAATTATGTGTCTCGTCTGAGTAATTCTCCATCAGCTAAGCACCTGTGCTGTCCCGCTGCCAGATGTTCAAGCAGATGCTGTCAGAGAAGCAGCTCAAGTGGGAGAGCTACAAGAAAGAAGGATCTGAGAGGATGACCGAGCTGGCTGAAGTCTTCTCCGGCGTCAAACCTCTTACTCGGGTGGAGAAAAACGGTGAGCTCCTCTCTTCTGTGTGAAATAAAGAAAGTTGACTCACAAAACAGAAAGCAGATCTTTGTTTAGTAACAAATATGTAATATACACCTTTTAATTTTGTGGTTTATGGGTCTGTGTCACCTTTGACAGAAAACTTACAGGCGTGGTTCCGGGAAATCTCAAAGCAGATCGAGTCTTTGAACTATGAGGACTCCACAGCCGCTGGGAGGAAGACGGCACAGCTGATACAGGCGCTCATTGAGGTGAGGACCAGGATGATATTTCCCAGCTGCTTCACAGATTTGCATTAGATTAATTGGAAATAAAATCTTTACTTCACATTATGCTGAGGGATTAGGTGATAGGAACTATGCTTCCTGCTGTACTTATAGAAAAATACAATCTGTCCATTCTCTTCTGCTTATCCGGAGTCGGGTCGCGGGGGCAGCAGCCTAAGCCGAGAGGCCCAGACTTCCCTCTCCTCAGCCACTTGGGCCAGCTCCTCCGGGGGATTCCCAATGCGTTCCCTCGCCGGGCGAGAGACAAAGTCCCTTCCATGTGTCCTGGGTCTCCCTTTAGGCCTCCTCCCGGTTGGACGTGCCCAGAAAATACTTAGACTCTTCCCCTTTGGACAGGACCTCATCCCTGACCTGGAGAAGGCATTCTACCCTTTTCTGACTCAAGACCATGGTTTTGGATTTAGAGGGGCTGATTTTAATCCCAGCTTTTTCACATTCGGCTGCAAATCGCTGCAGTGAAAGCTGAAGATCACGTTCTGATGAAGCCAGCAGGACCACATCATCTGCAAAAAGCAGAGACCTGATCCTCAGGCCACCAAAACGGGTGCCCTCCACACCTTGGCTGCTCCTAGAAATCCTAGAAATCCTGTCCATATGAACAGAATCAGTGACAAAGGGCAGCCTTGGAGGAGTCCAACTCTCACTGGGAACGAGCCCGACTTACTGCCGGCAATGCGGACCTAGTTCTGACACCGGTCATACAGGGACCTAACAGCCCGTATCGGAGGGCCTGGTACCCCAAACTACCCCCCACAGGGTCCTCCGAGGGACGCGGTCAAACACCTTCTCCAAATCCACAAAACACATGTAGACTGGTTGGGCGAACTCCCACGCACCCTCCAGGATCCCCCTAAGGGGTATAGAGCTGGTCCAGTGTTCCACGGCCAGGACGAAAACCACATTGCTCCTCCTGAATCTGAGGTTTGACAATCCAACAGACCCTCCTCTCCAGAACCCCTGAATAGACCTTACCAGGAAGGCTCAGGAATGTGATCCCCCTGTAGTAGGAACACATCCTGCGGTCCCTCTTTTTAAGTAAAGGAACCACCACCCGGTCTGCCAGGCCAGAGGAACTGCCCCCGATGTCCACACGATATTGAAACTCCAACATCATTGTGAAGTATGCGGACGACACCACAGTGGTGGGTCTCATCACCAACAACAATGAGACGGCCTACAGGGAGGAGATCAGCGCCCTGACCCACTGGTGTCAGGACAACCGTCTCACCCTCAACGTCACAAAGACAAAGGAGATGATAGTGGACTTCCGGAGGTGCAGAGGAATACACACCCCCATCACCATCAACGGCGACGCTGTGGAGAGGGTGAGCAGCTTCCGTTTCCTTGGAGTTCTTCTGGCAGAGGATCTTACGTGGTCAGTGCACACGGAAAATACAGTGAAGAAGGCACAGCAGCACCTCTTCTTTCTCAGGAGACTGAAAAGATTTGGCATGAGCCACCGCATCCTCAGGACCTTCTGTCGCTGTGCCATTGAGAGCATCCTCACTGGATGCATCTCCACCTGGTATGGCAACAGCACCGCTTACAACCGCAAAGCTCTCCAGAGAGTAGGGCGGTGTGCAGAAAGGATTATTGGAGGTGAGCTTCCCTCCCTCCAGGACATCTATAAGAAGCGGTGCCTGAGGAAAACGGCGAGGATCATCAAGGACTCAAGTCACCCCAGCCATAAACTGTTCAGACTACTTCCATCAGGAAGGAGGTTCTGCAGCATCCGGTCCAGAACCATCAGACTGAGAGACAGCTTTTTCCATCAGGCCATCAGACTGCTGAACACATCGCAGACACCTCACCCTCACTACTGAAACTCCAACATTACACACTCCATACTGTACATTAATGCCACAGTTTTGCACATACCAACCTCTGTACATTTTATATCTCTTATCTTATTGTTTACTTTATTCATTTGTATATTTAGATTAGCCATTTTTATATTTTACATGTTTTTACATTACTGTATTTTTACAACTCTGTTGCTGTGAAGCTCGCACACAAGAATTTCACTCGCATGTACTGTACCAGTGTACCTGCACATGTGACGTGACAATAAAAGTGATTTGATTTGATTTTGATATTGCAGAGCCGCGTCAGCCAACACAGCCCCACAACATCCAGAGCCTTAAGCCTGATTCATGCTTCTCCGTCAGCTCCAACAGGGAGAGACACGCACGGACGGAGATGTTTTGCCCTCATACTTCTCCGTCTCCTGGGGAGTGTTGCAAAGCAATTCCCCACCTGGCCAACAGAGGGCGTAGCGCTGTTCTGTGGTATCCTGTCATGTATCGGTCCAAGATGGTGTGTTTGTATTGTGTTTTTTTTGTATATAAGAGACTTTTTAACAGACAAATTTGTCTCTCATTCTCCTCCACCTCTTCATGCGCTCGCCACCTCTTAACCCACGTTTCCTGTCATTTCCGTCCACAAATAAAACGCTTGCTGCGTATCTTTTCACTCCTCCAGTCACGGGGGAATTAAACGTTCATGTTTTTAGAGTTTTTTTCGCGAGGTATTTTTCAAGCTGCTCCGTGTCTGCCGCTAGTTATCCTCGGCACTCTTTATGTTTTTGAGGGCGCAATGGCAGTGGTGTAGACGACAGCGGCATCCTGACCAATCACAAGCTTGCGTTCTCTGTCTCGACGGACGGATGTTTAGAAAAGAGAGCTCGACTCCGTCCGTCCTTGCGGAGCTCTCCAGCAGGCCCGCAAGGAAGGATAATGGCGTTGCGTGTCTCCGCACTAACGCAGACGGAGAAGCATGAATCAGGCTTTAAGGAACTCCGGGCAAATCTCATACATCCCCGTAGCCTTGCCACTGAGGAGCTTTTTGACAACCTCATTGACCTCAGCCCCAGAGATCGGAGAGTCCAGCCCAAAGTCCCCAGACTTTGCCTCCTCACTGGAAGAAGTGCTGGTGGGATTGAGGAGGTCTTCGAAGTATTTCGTCCACCCATCCACAATGTCCCCGAGTAGAGGTCAGCAGCACAGTCACCACTATAAACCATTTTGGTAGTGCGCTGCTTTCCCTTGCTCCATGGTCTCACCGAACTCCACCCACGCCTGGGGTTTTGCCTCAGTGACCACCCATACCACATTCCGCTTGGACTGCCGGTACCCGTCAGCTGCCTCTGCCTTCCGACAGACCAAAAAGACCTGATAGGACTCTTCCTTCAGCTTGACAGCATCCCTAACCGCCGGTGTCCACCAGCAGGTTTAGGGGTTGCCACCACGACAGGCACCGACGATCCTGCGGCCACAGCTCCGGTCGGCCGCCTCAACAATGGAGGCACGGAACAAGGCCCACTCTGACTCGATGTCCCCCGCCTCCCCCAGAACATTTTGGAAGTTCTGTCGGAGATGGGAATTGAAGCTCCTTCTGACAGGAGACTGCCAGACGTTCCCAGCAGACCCTCGCGATACGTGTGGGCCTGCCTGGTCTGACCGGCATCCTCCCCCACCATCTGAGCCAACTCACCACCAGGTAGTGGTCAGTTGACAGCTCCGCCCCTCTTTTCACCCGAGTGTCCAAGACATGCGGCCGCAGGTCAGATGAAATGACAACAAAGTCGATCATCCAGCTGCGGCCTAAGGTATCCTGGTGCCAAGAGCACATATGGACACCTTTATGTCTGAACATGGTGTTCATTATGGGGGGGCGTTCCTCCCAACCACACCTCTCCAGGCCTCACTGTCATTTCCCACATGAGCGTTAAAGTCCCCCAGCAGAACAAGGGAGTCACTGGAAGGAGTGCTCCCCCCCTCAAAAGTGTCCAAAACCGGGCTCCATCGGTGAAAGCCCGGCCACCAGGCGCTCGCCAACGTGCCCCACCTCCAGGCCTGGCTCAAGAGGGGGACCCCGGTGACCCGCGTCCGAGCGAGGGAACACCGATTCCAATTTTTCTTCATAAGGGTTATTTGAAACATACCAGCATAAACACAAATAATGGCCAGGGGCTTTTGCCTTCAGTGCTGTAAAAAGTGCTTTTTTTTTTTTTGATTGTTATTTAAATGTTTCGGATCAGGAACACATTTACAAATCAGACAAACATGACCTGAGTAAATGAAAAATATAGTTTTAACAGGACAAAATCTGTCCAACCAACCTGGTTGGTATGAAGGAGTGAACTAGCAAACCCTTATGAAGAACTTTGAAAAGAGACATTTTTGTTCTCGTTTGTCTTCAGGTGCAGGAGTTTCACCAGCTGGAGTCGAACCTGCAGGTATGTCAGTTTTTGGCCGATACCAGAAAGTTCCTGCACCAGATGATCCGCACCATCAACATCAAGGAGGAGGTCTTGATCACCATGCAGATAGTTGGAGATCTGTCCTACGCTTGGCAGATTATTGACAGGTTCGGAAGAATGGCTAAAGGAAATATTCCCAATGCTTGTGTTCAGGTAACGGAGAATACTTGTGTTAGTAACTTTAGTCTTCTTCTTGTGTTGTTCTGCAGCTTTACCTCTATCATGCAGGAGAGCATCAGAGTCAGCCCGCCCATGGTCACCAAGCTGAGAGCTACTTTTCTGAAGGTGACGACCATTTTGTTTCACGTCTCCAGCAGCAGACGTTACGTGTGTCCACATCTGTGGAAGTTGTTGATGACTGTTTTGTGGGTGTGTTTGTGCGAGCAGCTGGCGTCTGCCTTGGATCTCCCGTTGCTGCGCATCAACCAGGCCAACAGCGCAGACCTGCTGAGTGTCTCGCAGTTCTACTCTGGAGAGCTGGTGGCCTATGTCAGAAAGGTGCTGTGGGATTGTTAGCTGTTGTCTGGAAAAGCTTTTTGCTTTTTGTATGAAGAGAATCCATTTCTTTAACAAATGAGCTCTGCGTGTTGTATTTTATTATTCAGCATCCGTAGTGCAGCTTTAATGCGGATGAATGTTTCTGGAAGCGTCTGGTTGACGGATTTATCCAAAAAGCAGATGCACAGAAACTTTCTGTGCTTTTAATTACTAATGATGATTATTCTGCCTTTAAAAACCCTTTTGGAATATTGTTGGTTCTTAGGGATCTTTATTTTTCTTGCTTGTAGGTGCTTCAGATAATCCCAGAGAGCATGTTCACCTCTCTGGCTAAAATCATCAAACTTCAGATCCACGACATCATGGAGGTTCCCACGCGGCTGGATAAGGACAAGTTAAAGGACTACTCCCAGCTGGGGGCTCGCTATGAAGTAAACACTTGTTTCTGCTCTCTCCGTATTAACGTGTTAACAGAGAGATTTAAAAAGGTCTTATGATCCGGTATCAAAAAAAAAACATCGATAAGAGGCTGAAGAGATGCTTCATGTTGACTCATACGCTGGATGGGAGTCTGAGGCAATCAGGCTGGCTGGCATTTCTCACCGTTTTTCAATCTCACCCACAGCATTTGATGTCAGACACAAATTAGCCTGAAAGGCTTTGTGTGGAAGCAGATTGTACCAGCAGGCTCACTGGAAGAGCTTTAATTGGAATCGGAACCTCCGAGGTCACATTTTTCATCTTGAAAGGAAAGTTTAGGAAAAGGTTTGAAATGAAATCTGGTCGTTGCTAATTTCAAAATGTAACCTTGCAAAAATAAACGACCGTAAATGCTTGAGGGTGTCGTTTAGCTCGGATGTCTGCTCATCGTTCTAATTGCTGCTGAGCATGAGCCTGCTTTAGCTCACGCTGAAGAGATCTCATCTGCCTTGGTGCACATGAACATCCCTCCTCTCCTTCTGATCCTAGGTGGCAAAGCTCACTCATGACATCTCCATTTTCACTGAGGGCATCTTGATGATGAAGACAACTCTAGTTGGGATCATTAAAGTAAATTCCCCCAGTTGTATTATGAATGTATTCCTGTTTTTACTCGTTCTGCACACTGCCTTGGGCTTCATGACCGTGCTGGGATTTGTTTCAAGGTGGATCCTAAGCAGCTTCTGGAGGATGGCATCAGGAAGGAGCTAGTAAAGAGAGTGGCTTATGCTTTACACAAAGGCCTAATCTTCAACCCCAAGGCTAAGGTGAGACACCCGATCCATTTTCCACTGACACCAGTGTGTTTATGCATTTCACAGCATTTTCCATCTGGGCTTTATCATTTGGTGCACTTAAAATCTGATTGCAGTGATGGATGAAAATATCTTTCTCTGCCTTCCTGTTGTGCATGAAATAGCTATGAGATGGTCTTTGTGTCCTTTTGGTCTCAGAGAACCAAAAATAAAGGTGGAAAAGAAATAAACATGAATATTTTCTCAGCCCAGTGAACTCATGCCCAAGTTGAAGGAGATGGCAGCAACCATGGACGGCTTCTACAGGTCGTTTGAGTACATCCAGGACTACGTCAGCATTTATGGCCTCAAAATCTGGCAGGAGGAAGTGTCTCGCATCATCAACTACAACGTGGAGCAGGAGTGCAACAGTTTCCTCAGGACAAAGGTCTGCTCCAGATTCTCCATCACAGCCGATTACTCGTGTTGTCCACAGGAAGCACCCTGGTGCTGGGGTTACTGGTCTGTAATGAGACTTGTTTTGTTTCTTTCCAGATCCAGGACTGGCAGAGTGTGCACCAGTCCACTCACATACCCATTCCAAAGTTTGCCTCCGTGGATGAGTCTGCCACCTTCATCGGTCGTCTCTGCAGAGAAATCTTAAGAATCACGGATCCAAAGTACGTAACGGGAATCCTGCTGACAGAATAACTGACACAGGATCAGAAGGTGGATCACAGATGTTATCATCATCAAACCTAGGCTGATGGACTGGTTTCCTCTACAGGGTGACATGCTACATGGACCAGATGAACACCTGGTACGACTTGAAGAGCCACCAGGAGGTGACCAATAACAGGGTGTTCTCTGAGATCCAGAACACTTTAGGGACCTTCGGTCTGAACGGACTGGACCGACTCCTCTGCTTCATGATCGTCAAGGAGCTTCAGGTAATTAGTGCTGAAAACATTCCAGTTTGGGATAGAATAATTTCCCGAGACCTTGTTATGGATTTGGATTATATCAGCACCCTTATTGTTTATGAATTATATTTTGCTTGTGTCACCAGAACTTCCTGACGATGCTTCAGAAGACCATCCTGAGAGACAAAGCTGCTGTGGACGTCTTTAAAGCAATGGTGGCTGCTGTTAACCCGGTCCAAGGTATTGTGGGTAGGTACAACATCTGTCTACAACCCGACAACGTTTACTTATAACGTATGCAGAATGTGATGCCATTTTGTTATGTCGCTGTAGCTAATTCCACTAAAGTGTACACAAGTGCTGTTGCCAAGTCTCAGAAGATCTGGGGTTCTTATCTGGAATCCATCATGAAGGTATTAGTCCACACCCAGCTGTTGCCAGTTTCCTTGTTTTTTTAACCTGAAGACACAAAACCATGAAGATTCAGTGAAGTGTCTGTTTGTTGCAGGTTGGTCAGATGCAGATTCTCAGACAGCAGATTGCCAACGAGTTAAACTTCTCCTGCAAGTTTGACTCCAAACATCTGGGTGCTGCCCTGGAAAACCTCAACAAGTCTGTTGATGTTTCTATTTTAATCTTTTCGATACAAGATAATATTGGGTTGTTAGTAAGGAATTTGTTTTTAATCCTAACCATGTGCTGTCAGATTATTACTTATTGAGTTATATTAGGTCAACTCTTGGCATTATCTCATTTGGTCTCCAGCTACATTAAGTCCCCCTTCTTGTTCTGTCAGGTCTCTCCTAGCAGACATTGAAGCTCACTACCAGGACCCGACATTTCCATACCCCAAAGAGGACAACACTCTGCTGTATGAGATCACTGCCTACCTGGAGGCTGCTGGCATCCACAACCCCCTCAACAAGGTGAGTAAACCACATGTGTTACTTAACCTGTGAGGTTTTTAGGGTTAATTGACTATTAAAAGGTTGCTCTGTTGATGCCTCACTCAGATCTACATCACAACAAAGCGTCTCCCATACTTCCCCATCATCAACTTCTTGTTTGTTATTGCTCAGTTGCCTAAACTTCAGTACAGCAAAAACCAAGGTTCGTATCTATATTTTTAATCATCAACATTTTAAGCAGTAGTTCATTCTCCACCAGATTTCCTGCTAAGGTCTTCTTTATTTGTTTTTAGGAATGACCTGCAGGAAAGCCACAGACCCAGTGGACTGGCTTCCACTTGTGCTCGGCATGCTCACCCTGCTCAAGCAGTTCCACTCCAGATATACGCAACAGTTCCTGGCTCTCATTGGTCAGTTCATCCGCTCTATCATGGAGCAGTGCACAAGGTAACACAACAAAGCGGCCCTCTCTGCAGAAACAACTTTTTGTGGATGTTGGATGCAGTTTTACGCAACATCTTCATGAATTTTTGATCATTTCCAACACAGTCAGAAAATTCCTGACATGCCTTCTGATGTGGTGGGAGCGCTGATGTTTCTTGAAGATTATGTAAAGTACACAAAACTCTCACATAAGGTAAGCCAAGGCAACATTTATTCCTCTAGTATTCCTGAAAAATGGATGTGATGATAAAACACACTAGCAGATAAGGTATATTGACCATTTGCTAATTTGTTGTAGCTAATGTGCTTAGCTTGTATGATGATAGATTTCAGTCATTTTAGTGTTTGTGAGATATTAACATGTTTTTTTTTCTTCTGTAATCTGAAGGTGGTTGAAGCTCACGTGCCCAGCTTAATATTTGATGAGTTCAGAACAATACTGTGAAGATGTGGATGATGTGTCTCTGCTTTTGCTGCCATGCAGACACCTGGCCTTGTATAAGTGACAAAAGCACACATGTGTTACTAATAACATTAACAAACTCTTTGTTTGTTCAAGTAATCCAGTGAGGAAAATGTTTTTATTGTTATTATTTGTACCAGTACTTTTCATACAGTCACATCTCAGATGCTGACCCTATGGACCTTTTTACAGCAGCATCCTAGGAATACAAGTACAATAATAAAGGCCTGGTGTTAACATATCAGCTCACATTTCATTGTTTAGTCTGTTAACAAATTTTGCACCTATAATTGATTGTCTATGGATTGTCTTTTATGTACAAATGATCTGTGCCAATTTATCAATAAAAATAAAATTATTTAACCTACTGTTCATATTTATCAAGACCTTTATTCTGAAAATCCTTGCCCGGAAGTTAAAACTTTACCGCCTTTGCTGCAGCTTTTTAAGCATACGTTGTTTTCCTCTTCGCGTTATCTGCTTGCTGAAGTAGTTGAGTCTTTCTGAAAAAAAAAAATTGAATCTTAGCTACCCAACATTAGCGATAAGGTGTCAGGTAACTGCTGGTCCGGGCGGAAGTAGGAATGTAGCGGTTCACGTCCGCGGGTACGTCGCGTGAGTTAGCTAATAAACGAAACTGCTGCATTATGTCTGTGAGCGCGGTTCATGGAACCTTGTCGAGCCTGAAGTCATGTCAGGCGGAACTCGGGACAGGAATGGACATCGTGACGGATGTTGCTATGGACCTGGTGGAAACTCGGGGTAGGTGTCCACACGATGCTCAAACCTGAACATAGTTAGCTTAGAAGCTACATACTTGAGTTTAACCACCTGTATAAAGGCACACACCGAAAACGTGTCACTAACTTCACCATCAGAGTTGTCATGGCACTTATGTGTTTTTGTCAAAGATGAAGAGATGAATCGTGCCATCAAAGAGCTGGAGGCCATGATGCTGGAGTGTGCCAGGCTGGACAGAGAGATCAACAACTTTGTTGACATTGTGCAGCAAGTTACAGAGGTAGGTGCTGTGTGGAACACCTGTTCCTCAGGTATAATGAAGACATCCCTCGCCAGAAGGACAGCTCATGTTAGATGGTTTGGACATGTCCAGAGGAGAAACAATGATGACCTAGGTAGAAGGATGCTGAGGTTGGAGCCACCAGGCTGAAAGGTAGACCAACGAGGAAATTTATGAGGACATGAAAGTTAGTTGGTGTGAGGGCAGAGGATGCAGAAGACATGGCTAAATGGAGACGATTGGCTGTAGAGACACCTGAAGGGAGAAGCTGAACGAGGATGTGAGGTTATTATTGAGGGAAGGTCCTGCATGATGAAACATCCATCAATGTGTGTTTCTCTGCAGGCTGGTGCTCAGCAGCCAGATGCCATGTTCGACCTGTCTGCCAAAGTGAAGCAGCAGTTATCAGAGAGGATAGCTCAACTCTCTGATGCAGACCTGCACAAGCACCCAAAGGTGATCGCCTTCAAGGAGAGCATTGAGAGCTCAGTGAGTCAAGGTGAGTCCAGTGGAAGGACATCACTGGGTTAATACCTGGAACCTTCAGAGGTGGTAAACGGGTGTTAATGAGATTCTGTTTGGGAAAACACATTAGGAATAAAGCAATGCCCAAAATGAAAGTACAGTGTAAAGTTAACTGTACTTTAATCATTTTGTTACTGTGGAAAACATCTGTCTTGTCACTGAAACAGTAAGTTTAAAGATGTTTCAGTTTGTAAACAAATCTGTTCTCTGCCAAATGGACGAAACACGAATCAGAATGTTTTTCATGATACTTGGTGTTGGATAATTTATGTTTTTATTCCAACCAGTCAGTGGCAGTCCACATCTGGGAGCAACATCTGTATCTTTGTTGTGTTTTCAGCCAACCAGGAGTCGGCAGAGAACGTGGAAGAGCTTGATGAGGACATCGCCGTCACACAGAGCCAAGTGAACTTCACCTGCCCACTCACTCAGGTATTTACAGTGATGGAGGAGCCCTCCCTCACCACCTAACCTAACGGCTAACTACAGTTTTCTGTCCCACAAACTGGCGTGACCGTAAACACGTACTGCATTAATCTGTATTTAAGGTAGAAATGGAGAACCCTGTCAAGAATAAGAAGTGTAACCACCACTATGACAAGAATGCCATCCTGGGCCTGATCAAAACGAGAAACAGCCAGAAAAAGAAATGCCGGTAAGAAGGATCAGAAAGTTGGGTCAGGTTTTCAGAGTTGTGCAGGACCAGCACTGAGCTGCTCCTCGAGCAACACAGATGTTTCTTTAAACTGTAGTACGGTAGAGAACAGCTCTGAACTTGGGCTTTTCTGAACCTGAAGCGTTTGTTACGAAGTTTGATGACCACGTTGTCCCTCTGTCCTGCAGCTGTCCTGTCGTGGGCTGTGCCAACACAGATGTGAGACAGTCCGACCTCATTCAGGATCAGCTACTGTGGAGAAGGATCCAGAGCTACAGGAGACAAAGCAACAAAACTTAGGCTTTTTAGTTTTTGTTAGCATGTCTGTTGGAATCAAGTCTCACGGATCACCTTCATATTTCTGACTGTTATGAAGTCATGTGCTCATCCTGCAGCAGTTAGTCTTATTATCTGTCTTTATACAGTTTTGTACCCATCTGAGTAAATACTCGCTTGTTTTTCATGTTCTGTTTGTTTTGTTTATAAAGATTTTGCTAAATAAACTAGATTGTTTTTATGTTAGTGGTGAAGTGACCTAGGTGAACCACAAGAGGGCAGCATTTTTACTGTATCAGTGTCAAAGGATTTAGTATCATAACTTAGTAATTTATTATTAATGAGCGACACAGACACATCATGGTGCTTTTTATGAAGACCCTTTAAGACTCCTTAAACCTTGGATCCAAACCGTAAATGATTAAACCGTAAAGGACCGTTCTTTAACCTTTGTGGGGAATGTTCTTGCATGGTTAACTCCTGGTTCACAGTGAAAGGCTGATTGTTCCAGAGAAACAAACAAAGCTGCGTTTACATGAAACTAATCCTTTAACACCTCAGATCAGCAGTTTCTCAATAATCTCTGAATAGATGATGAAATTATCTGGAAGTAAAAGTTCAAAGTTAGATTCGTGCTCCTTCTAGATGCCCATTAAATCTGTATGTGTGTAATGTTCCAGGTGGTTTAATAACTGAGAAGTCTTTCCTGTTTAGAAGGATGCGAAGGCGGGAGCGAACCGAACAGGGATGCTGTGATCAAATCCACTTCCGGTTATGTTTGTGCAGAAATTCATGTTCATCTCTTCCAACGCTCCAAGCTGTGATGGTTGCCTAGGAGTCTGTGAACGTGTGTTTCCGAGGAGGAGGAGGAGGATTTGGCTTTGGCTGCCAGGAAGTGAACAAACTCGCCTCTTGGCACAGGAGTCCTGGCAGGGCAGGAGCTAGGGGGGAGTGGGACCAAATCAGACCATCTTCTCAGAATTCCAGTCCCATTCAGTTTCTTCTGGTGTAGCAAAGTTCACAAAGTCGTGACAAGAAAACCAAAACCGCGTGCTTTTTAGAGCGGCAAAGTCGGAGGAAAGACCTCTCACCATCTCTGAAGAAACGTTACAGGAAGTAATCAAGATGTTCAACAAATAAAACCTCACTTTGAAAATCCAGGAATTCCTGTTGAAGGCGACACAAACCACAGCTCATTTTGTTGTTTTAAATATTTCAAAAGAAAAAACATTTCACCAGCCTGTTGCATCACTCAGTCTTGCTGAAGTAAGCAGAGCTCTGAGCTGCTGTTGTCCTCAGCAGGCGATCACATCCAGAAATACTTTGACCTCTAGCGTTTCTCTGAGCTACTCCTGCAGAGTCCAGTCTCTGAACATTTATGCACTTTTAATCTGCCTGCACGGCCTTTTTTAATTACTGCTTTAGATGTGACCGGTTTCAACCAGAAATGCACCGATTCTGGTTTTGAAGGCCGGTACCGTTTCAGATTTTTGTGATCTCTGATCTATTAATGTAGGCGTTTGTAAATGAATCAAGATGTTTCAGGAAAAATAGCCGTCCACGTGAAGATCGGTTATTTCTGTTGCAAATTAGTTTTTGGCAGGTGGAGAGAATGTGTTCCTGCACATTTAATCATTAAACCAGAAGCACATCCAGCTTATTTAACAGGTTTAAAGTCAGACACTCGTGATAAAAAGCAGCGATCTGAGGTGACACGCCTACTTGCTGGTGTCAGAAAAAGAGACGTGGTCTCTTTAAGAGAACGCCTCCCAGCAGCGGCATCCTGAGCGACTTTCGCTGCAACAACCCGAGAGCTGCACACAACAAAGCGTGTTTAGACTGGAAGGAGCTGCTTTGATGACCGAAGGGGAACCTGCTGGAGCGGAGAGGTCAAGTGAGCGTTTCCCTTATTCTGGTGAGTTTCTGACAGATTTGATAAAAGCCGTTAAAACAGCAGCGGGAGGGCTGGGTAGGGGTTAAACAGGAAGCTGCTCTTGTCTCGGAGAGTGAAGCTGAAAATGTGAGCCAACAGGTGAGTCAGGTCACACCTGTTGGGCTTGGGAGCGTTAGATCTGACCGTGCTGACAGCTGTGTGTTCCCGTCAGGTTGTCCCAGTCAGCTGGAAAACCGGACATGGATTATTGGTTCCCGTGGACTTAGGGATCAGCTCTCCAGGTGAACAGGTGGACCCTGGTTGTGTTGACTTGAACCCCGCTTCCATTCCCGATGGGAAACCAAGTGGACAAACTTACACACGTCAATTACGCAGAGGTGCCCACGTCGGAGCCGAACGGCTTCGACCCGGACGGCGAGGGCGCGCAGCGCATCGGCGTCTCCTACATTTTCTCCAACGACGATGACGACGATCAGGACGAGACTCTGGATCAGTTCTCCTCCAGCAGCCAGCCCGCCAGCCACGAGGAGAAGCCCTTTGACCTGCAGGACGAGCTGGAGTGCGTCGTCTACTACCGGGACGAGTGCGTCTACGAGCGGAGCGCCAGAGCCGCGGCGCAGACGCAGAGCCCGGAGGGTCTCATGGCCAAGTGCAGACCGGGAGACCTGCTGGAGTTTGTCGCCACCGGACAGTACCCGACATGGGCCGTCTACGTGGGGGACTTCCAGGTGGTTCATCTGCACCGAGCTGAGATCAAGAACAACTTTCTAACCGACGTGAGCCAGGGCAAAAGGGGCAGGATAGTGAACGAGCTGTACCGGTACCGGGCGCTGCCGCCGGAGGTGACCGTGCGTAACGCCCTGGACCACGTCGGCGCGGTGGACCGGGAGCTGTGCTGGAGGAACTCCGAGTGCTTTGCCGCCTGGTGCCGCTTCGGCAGGCGGGAGTTTAAAATCGGAGGAGAGATCCGGATCGGGAAGCAGCCGTACCGGTTAAAACTCCTCTTCTCCGAGAAGAAGAGCCACGTGCTGGAGTTCCAGAGTCTGGAGGACGTGGTGATGGAGAAGAGGAGGAACGACCAGATCGGGAAGGAGGCTGTGATGCGAGAGCTGGCCAACCATTTAAACGCCACGTAAAGTCCGACAGGATCACGGATGAGACGGTGGAGGAATTTTTACCACCAGGAGGGTCTCTGGGAGTCAGAGGATGTGCCAACACACACGAGCGCGCGCGCCGGACCTTTAAAAGGTCAATAAGAGCATCAGGAAAAAGTCTTCAGGGTTCAGACTAAAACCTTCATGGAAGTTCTCCTCCTCCTCAGCCCAACAATCCTGCATCAGAGCTGTTAGGGTGGAGAAGAATCAAAAATTAAACGAGTTCCTTGTGTTTTTACCATTGACATATATTCCACGTCAATTACGCAGAGGTGCCCACGTCGGAGCCGAACGGCTTCGACCCGGACGGCGAGGGCGCGCAGCGCATCGGCGTCTCCTACATTTTCTCCAACGAGTTCCTTGTGTTTTTACCATTGACATGATAGGGAAATTGAACAAAAACATGTTTGTATGAAGGCTAATGGAATAAATCTATATTTGAAGAGTAAAGCTTTTTTTTCTTCTTTCTAACAAAAGGTTCAAATAACTGATGGTGGTGATGAGATGATGGTGAAGCGGAACAGAGTTTATAACCCTAAAATAAAATTTACATCATCCTGATCCAAATGCCTGCTGTCCTCAGCACCATGGGTCCATGCAGGCCATACCCTCATTGCTGAGTCACTTTTATTTATTATATTTCAGTCTGGCTGTAGGTTTGAGCCATTCTCCATCCATATTCAGTGTTGTCCTCATTGGCTGAATCACAGCATTTATTCAATTTAAGGAGAAGTTTGTAGTTGCTGATGTTTCATCACTTTAAAGCTGCTCGGGGATTGGATAACGGCTCTGCTGTTCTGCTGGTGTCAAACACAAACCACCTATGAAAACACTTAACAGGATGTTTGCAGGCTGCATAGGAAGTTGCAGCAGGCTGGGAGGTTGTTTTGAGCAACTTCAGAGGAAGCTGGTGATCTCAAAGCTTCTGCTGGTGTTCCTGTCCTCCATCAGGTTTTATATGGAGGTGTTAGTCATGCTGTGGCAGGTGAAGGTCCCACCATACCCACAGATAGATCACCTTCAGCACCGGTACCAAATGGAAGTGCTGCTGGACACATTAGCATATGTCTCTCTGTGAGACAGAAGCAGAATAATACACTGTAAATGATATTCTGTTGGGTAAAGGAGGAGTTTCCTGTGGTCTCTGTTCTGGTGGTTGTTCTCCTGAATGCACATCATAGCAAAAGTGATTTTCCAAATGTTAGGAATGTTGTTCAGATATTTTTCCAGGACAAACAGGAGATTATTCTGCAGTAAATGGTGGAAAGGTGAAATGGTGCGAAGCCGGCCACACATGATGCAGTCCAAGCAGGGAGCCGGTTGCCTTAAAGCATTCCTAATGATTCAAATCTCCACAGGAGACCTGCAATTAAGCTGCCAGTGGACAGCATCATTCGTATTCAGTCCCTCCATTTTAAAGAGTCTATGCTGAGTTTTAATTACTGGACATAAATGCAGCTCTTGTTTGTTCGTCCCGTCAAGGAAAGCGTTTTCCTGGTTCGTCTGAATAGGAGTGTGTGTGTGGTTCATATTTCTGATGAGCCTGTTGCCGTTAACAATTTAGTCATTTTCTTGGATTTTCCTCCCTCAGCGTTTGGAGATCCCTCACGGAAAACTACATCTAAACATGCAGCTCAGTCGGGAATACACCCAACTAGTGATCCACATCGTTCAAAGTTTGAATGGGGTCACGGGAAGTTGGATTTTATGTGCCTGAACTGGGATTATGATAAATGTTTTTAAACAGTCATGGTTTATGTTTCATGACCTTTACAGCTTTTCCACTGCGTATACGATTCTTCATCAACCTGTAGACGAGTCCGCCTCTCGCCGCAGGACTCGAGCCTCCTTCACACCAGACGAGGAACTCTGGAAAGTGCTCACATGGAGTCTGTTTTTTTCTGGATTTCAGATTGTCATGTTACAGAAATGACATGAGCCGGACAGGAAGTGAGGCAAGGTTTGGCGAGTCGCATCTGATATGTTTCAAAATAAAATGCGTGTTGCATTATTTTTCTCCAGTTTTTGTTTTATTTTTAATGACAGCAATATCAGCTCATAGTTGGAGAAGATGAGTGTGGCTTTTGTTTACCTGCTCCTCTGTTGTTGTAGCAGTCGGCGTGAATGGCAATCCGTTTGGAAGCCATACGGAAACCTGACCACATTCGGTCCGTATTTGGTGCGAACAAGGCATCGGTTTGGACTAAAATCCACTCAGAGTTCAGTGTTAAGCCTGATTCATGCTTCTCTGTCTGCGTCAGTGCGGAGACACGCAACGTTCTTGCGGGCCTGCCGGAGAGCTCCGCAAGGACGGACGGAGTCGAGCTCTCTTTTCTAAACATCCGTCAGTAGAGACGGACAACACAAGCTTGTGATTGGTCAGGAAGCCGCTGTCGTCGACACCGCCGGCATTGCGCCCTCAAAAACATAAAGAGAGCCGAGGATAACAAGCGGTAGACATGGAGCAGCTTGAAGAATACCTCGCGAAAAAACTCTAAAAATATGAACGTTTAGTTCCCTCGTGACTGGAGGAGTGAAAAGAGGCGCAGCCAGCGTTTTATTTGTGGACGGAAATGACAGGAAACGTGGGTTTAGAGGTGGGGAGTGCATGAAGAGGTGGAGGAGGATGAGAGACAAATTTGTCTGTTAAAAAGTCTCTTATATACAAAAAACACAATATAAACGCACTATCTTGGACCGATACATGACAGGATACCACAGAACAGCGCTACGCCCTCTGTTGTCCTGGCGTGGAATTACTTTGCAACACTCTCCAGGAGACGGAGAAGTATGAGAGCAAAACGCTTCCATCAATCTGTGCGTGTCTGTCCCTTGCGGAGCTGATGGAGAAGCATGAATCAGGCTTTAACCTCTCAAGCTGTTTGGTATTTGGTTACCATGGTGACACTGCTGATCCACTGGCAGCAGCTTAAACATTTCTGTGGATTTCTATAGATGTTTTTACTGTTTTTTAAATCCAAACTGTTCTATTATTATTTATAAAGAAAGCTGATGCATGTTAAAATATGACTTGCAGACTGATATTACCCAAAGGAACATTATATCTGACCTTTATGATGCTTTAATGGTCACACATGAAAACCAACTTTATCAATTGTCGGTCATGTTTTCAGGCAACATCTGCATTGGTCTCCCGGAAGGTGTTTTCCTTTTTAGAGCTGATATAACAGATAAAATCCTGCTTTTGGGAAGTAAACATGGCAGCTTTAAAGAAAAACAGTCAACTACGACCAGGTAGATCCGATGTTTGCTTTTTCCTTCCTGTGGATTCTTGGACCTGTTGTCTCCGACTCCGGCCAAGAGGGGTCCATCTTGTTTCCTTAGCCCACACCCTTCTAGTGGAGCTGGCACCGTTACAAAAGCTGGGGCCCAGCCAGAGTTTGAATCAGGCCCATCTGATGTTTACAAATTGATGTTATCTGCACAAAAAGACTTGCACACAAATGCCTAAAGTGTAAACGTCTGTGGTGTTTATATGAGTCAGGCCTGCAGACGGAGGACGGATAATCTGGGTAAGATGGTTTTCTATTTAAAACAGTTTAAGGGTTTTAAAGAAAGATGGTTTCTGTAAGTCTGCCGATTTTGAGAAAGTGTTTGTTATCCTCTGAATCTCACCACAGGAGTTTATTAGAGCTAAAACTTTTGTGGTTTTACTTTCCTTCCTTGAGTCTGTGTTCATTATATTGATCATTTTGGAGATATTTTGCCTTTGAGGTAAACAAAAACAGATTAAGGTTGTGTCAGCTTTTATTTGCCACATTCACATGAACAAGTGCATTATGGGAGCTAATTGTTGTTTTCTGCTTAGTAGGTAAAATGAAAACACAAGGAGGTGTCTGCTTCAGACAGGAACAGCGTTCACCGGGGCGGTTTCACGGCCCACTCACCTGAATCATGTCGATGGGAAACGTTTCCTTTTTCTGCAACGTAACACAACTCCTGTAGAACTCAAACGAATGACACGGTTCAACCCTGCAGCTACTTACAGCATCTTCTTTTACATTTCAGTGTTTGTTAGACTTCTCTTTGCTCCCAGTTAATTATTTGTACTGGACTCCAGCAGCTGGACCTGAAGCTGTGTTTACTGTTCAGTCTCAGACCAAAGCTGTGCCGAGATTCTTCGTGTCCGGATGTTGGACCCCAGTTTGTTTATTCTGCATCACAATGGCAAAGTCCAACACCCCCCGCTGTGTGTGTGTGTGTGCGTGTTGGTGTGTGTGTTTGAACATCCAACCTCTCTTGCTCACGTGTTTCTCAGAGCCAAACGGTCGACTGTGGCGGTGAAGCTGCTGTTAAAAGCTGCAGAGGCGGGAAACTGCTGATGGGTTTCAAGGACAAATAATCCAAAGTATCAGAAACAGTTGCTATGATGTCATGTTTAGGGCAAGACAGCAGGCTGTGTCTCTTCAGAATGGAATCAGGCTCGATTCCAGGTCCCCTGCCTGGTTTACAGACCCAGAACCAGAACTCGTAATGGACAGAAATTATTTCTGCTGCTTTAAGTTAAGCAGGAAGAGTCAGAAGAATGCTGGAGCCTCCAGCTCTCTGACCCGTTTGTCACTTCAATTATTTGTGGCAGTCTGATTCAATCACCCCCCCCCCCCCCCCCCCCATCTCTCTGAGTCATCACAAGATTTCCTGATCTGAGTCCTCAGCACCACTGGCTTTCCTCTACCAGCCGCCACGCTCACAGCCGAACCGTTTCTGTTCAGAGTGTCAAATCCAGCTGAAGGCCGCTAGACGAGCAGAGAAACGGTTCTACTTGGTTCTGCTTCTTCTTCCTCTTCTTTCTCACTGATGTTCTTCTTTTTCTTACTTCCGCCTCCTCATACTTAACTGCAGTCTCGTGTACCTTTAATAGTATTTTTATACACCAAGAAAAACTAAAGTATACACTCAGATGAAAGAATATTAGCAGCTTTTATTTGTAGAGGGCGCTTCCCTCAGCACCAGGAGGGAAAGACGGGCTTTCTGTTTGTTTATTTTTAAATAAATGTCTCCTGCCAGATTCCTCTTGCTGTTCTGTAATTTCACTTTCGTGTTACTTTGCCAATATTTAAAACACATAGTTACTACATCTGCCTAATTAAGCTCCCCCTGACACATTTAGACATTTTTATAAATTACAGCATCTCTGAGTCTTGTTGACTTACATTTGAAGGATCATTTTTGGTTAAGTTACAATCATAAAATATTTATATTATATTAGTAGATCGAGGGTATTGAGCTGGTCTACAGTTCCACGGCCAGGACGAAAATCAAATTGCTCCTCCTCAATCTGAGATTCAACTATCGATCGGACCCTCCTCTCCAGTAGCTTGGAGTAGACCTTTCCAGGGAGGCTGAGGAGTGTGATCCCCCTATAGTTGGAACACACCCTCAGGTCACCCTCCTTAAAAATGGGTAACCCTCCAGGCCGGGT